AGGTAGACAAATATACACAACGGAACCTGATATCTCGCAATTCTATAAGACTGAATCAGATGTTCTCAACTGCAACTGAAAGCCGTGTCAGGGTTCATAGTTTACAAAGATGGCCCGAGTGCAAGACGCCAGCAAGGCACAAAACAGCTCACATCTAATGACGCCAGAAACATGCCAAGTGGAAAACGACATGTGGAGAATGATTCTTTTGTGAATAGGTCACACTTCACCTGCAGCTAGATGCAGCTACATGACAGTTGAAAACTGTGGTATGGGCAGGAACGAGCACTCATGATTGTACATTCTGCGAAATGGTAAAACTAATGCCATACATTGAAGGGATAACATTCAACGACTCTTTCTACAAGCTAGCATGTGATGACGTTATTGACTCTAGCATTAACCTAATAGATGACAATACCCCTCATCGTTCTAAACTTATCAACAGATTCCCTGATGACGAACTGACATTGTGGATTGATCGCAGATCGTGTATGTGATATGTCGTTCAGTAACTTCCCACACTAAAGAGAAGAGAGGTCGAAGATATCTCAGAACCTTACCGACACTGATTTTAAATATAGAACATACTGGTATTGATGACCGTACTGTATAGGGTTACCAAATATCATAAGCTATAAAAATATTAATCCATCTCACCTAAATGTTCATATTATTATAATGAATTTTATTTATCTTTTACTTTGTTTCAGCAGGGTATGAATTGTCTATGTGGTATATAGTGAGGTTGAAAAGCAACTCTTTTATTTAAGTTTTAAATAGTTTTAAAATGAAACATCTGGTAATTTATTGTGATAAACTTAATGTGTCCTGTATACGGGTGCGATAAAAGAGAAATGAATATTTATAAAACTACAGAACGTAATAGATAAAATATTTCAGTAAACTCTAAGCAAATGCTAGAATGGTTGAAGAATTTCATATTTATACTTTATCTAGAACATATTAAACAAAAACAGTTCCTTTCTTAAGATTACCAGTAGTAAATGACTGTAAAAAAGTGTTTCTGTATGGATTCGCCACTGTCGTAGCAGAGTTGCTATATTCCGCAAATTGGAGTTGTGTAGCTCTAATAAGTGTGCTAGTTAAGCGTCACTAATAATTTATATTTACTAAAGGATTTACAATAAAACACTTTACTTCAAAACATTCGTAAAAATAATATTTCTAATATAATTAAATGTATACCACTATTTATCTTAATTTTAAAGTCATTTATCAGTTCTAAGCTTTCATATAATTTTATGTTTGTTTGGAATTAAGCACAAAGCTATACAATGGGCTATCTGTGCTCTAACCCACAGATTTCTATCGTTGTAAGTCCACAGACATACCGCTGTGCCACTGGGGGGCATCATTTTATGTAGATATATATATTGTAATAAGAAAAATTAATTTTCTAGCAAGAGAGGCAAGCATACTGATATCATCATAATGTTAAATTTGAATGCAATTAGTGATAATAACAAAGATACAGCACTAGAAACGACAGAAAATCTAAACTCCTTTGAAAATACAGCCTGAGCATAAACTTTAAAATTCCTTCTACAACCATGTTGTCAAGTTAATTTTATTTAAAAATAAGTTTGTGGGAATAAATGAATGTACAAAAATAAGATAGAAGTAATAAAAACAGATTGTAGTAAAAAACAGAAAGTTCTTGAATTCATTTAATTTGTATTTGTAAAGCAAGTATTTATTAAACTAACAAATAGAATGTTTAAGGTTGTGGATTTTACATGTAATTGTGTATTCTTATTACCGAAATTATGATTTTGAAAGAAAAAGTAATCGTCTGATTTAATCTTTTAATACGTAAGTGAAATGTTATTGAGTTATACTGGTTTCAGGGAAGTACATCCCTCATCACTAAATCTGGTCACGTTTCTTTTTTGGTAAAATTTCACAGTTTTGTTGATGAGAAAATAATAAAATCAGTTCACTCAGTCTGTCCATCAATATTTTTAAATAATATAGTAATATTAATATTATCTATTATGTAAATAGATATGTGAATAGAGGTTGCTTATGATGAAAACAGATTGTTACCTTCTCTTAATTGTTTGTCAGAAATGCTGTTTTGTAAAAGAAAATGCCACCATAAAAGCAAAAAGAAAATACATATAGATAAATGTAACATTAGAAAAGTACTTCACTGAGCACTTTCCTTAACAAAAATCTATAGCAGGATGCAAATAGATTCGTGGTAAAAAATGGAAAGGTATTAAAGTTTTTCTATCCATTACGATCAATACGAATTGGGATTGTAGTTCGCCCTGTTTTAATTCAGCTTTAATAACACTGAAAAATCTCAAGAAACATCCACTCTTGTAATATATCTGAAAGGTGTCATTAAAGTTGCTGCTTCTAATAAATATCAATGAAAAAATTCACACTAAAGTTATGTATTTTACTTAGGAAAAGGTCGTATATATATATATATATGTTCTATTGCGTTAAAAATCTGGTTATAGAGAAGTTAACAGGAATTTGAACATTTTATTTCTTTCTGCTTATGGTATGCTTAGGTTAACCTCAGACTTTTTTGTATTGTCTACAGAAATTAATTTCCTTCAGTCTTCCACATTGAGCAAACACTCAGTCCACAAATTTTGTGCTTGTTCCTAGAACATTTTCCAGATACTCTCCACATCGAGTAGGGGCTCACAGACAATTCAAATAACTATTACGTAGAACAAAGTGAGTGCTTTACATTATCATGGAGTTAAAAGGCTCGCTGCTTCGTCGTCTGGCTTACCATTCATTTCACGAAACATCGATCGATTGACGCTCTTAAAATTTAATCAGATGGGTGGGATAGAATAAAATCTTCTTTAGAGTTACTATATAAACATATATTTTATTATATTATTGTGATATCATATATATATATGTTTGATGAATAGCGTAAGATTTCTGCTCAGTAACAACCATGAAAAATAATAGCACTTGGTAAAAAAATATATATATTTTCATGCTACAAATAGTATGATTTCTTTTTAAAACTGCTTATTTCCTTATCATAATACTACAGAGTGTGTAGAGTTGTAAGTTAATCAAAATATCTTAGTACGCTTGATTATTCATAATGTCGTCGCTTTTGAATAAATACACTGACAGCGAGTAATCATTAAAAGTTGGTATGCATCAGCCTACGTTAGTAAAAGTTATATATGTTTTTTTATAGATTTCGAATACGTCACACCCAACAACTTTTATTTTCCCCTGGAAATAGTAATTTGGTAATTTTGGGCCTCGGGAGATTCCATCGATAAGAGAAACTCTATGTACACATAAAAAGACCGGAGAACCAACAATCCAGAAGGAGAAAATCTCGATATATAAGCACAAAAAATCCGTGTCTGTCTGTTTGTCCGTTATCTAACTACTCCTAGGTCGCAGGGCCAATCTCAACCAAATGTTATGGGATGATAGTCTGGAACAAGGGACATGTTAATGGAGGGTTCACAACCCCCACCCCAATATTGCTGTAATTGAGTATTTATTATATTTGACGTAAGTTAACGTTAACTACACTCATAGATGACGCCACGTCATTACAAAAACTATTAAATTTTCTATAGAACAACATAAACAGAGTGTTGGAGAGAGCACACAACGTCTAATATATCTCATGGAGTGCACTAGCACTCTCTATGGAGATATGCAATGAAACGAGTGGCCATTACTATTAGAATACTACATAAATCCAGCTGAAGTTTCTACTATAACAGCCACCATAAGGCTGATATGAAGAGACATTCTTGAGTTATACCCACTTCCTACTTTCACCCGTGACCTTTCAAAATCAGCCTGTAAGACACTTCTGTGGCCAATGAGCGTCAATTAATTAATCACGTGCAACACTGTGGAAGATCATTAAGAGCTGGATGTTGAAAGCGTGTAACAGAAAGCACATATACTGCCACTACTTTGGTCACTACCTCTTCATACAACGGTCCCCCGGTGGGACACGATAAGTCTTCGGATTTAGAACGCTCAAATAAGGGGTTCAATTCCCCTTGGTGGACACAGCATATAGCCTGATGTGACTCTGCTATAAGAAAACACGTACACACTTCCTACAAAGTCACCTGACCATCACGCAATGTATACCGTGTTTTAAGTATTTACATAGTGAGTTCTTAAAGCTTATACAAAACATTTTGTGAGGTAATAATGAATAGTGTAATAATATTTTATGTCATAAACAAATTGTGTGAAAGATAGGATTTTTGTGTTATTTATCATAGCATCCACCCCCAATTTTTTTAAAGTTCATAACCCGGACAAAGAACGGATACCTCAGTTTGTAACGAATAATTTGTGAACTTACTGAAGATTAGGCAACGGAAGTTTTGGTGAAAACATGAGGCTAAAGAACAATTTCCCGCTAATGTTTTTAGACGAATCCACAGAAGCTGTTTGTCATCCAATAACTTTTACGTACGCATATATATATATGCAATATCTTTATGTATTAATCTAATATGTTTTAAGCCTCAGACAAAGTGCTTTCGTTTCAGAAATAGAAGGGTTCTTATCTCTAGGAATTCGATGAATAACGCTGTGAATCATCTCGCAAGCCAAACAACAGTACCTTTGTAATAATAAAGAGAATTCTAAGTCGTTAAAAAAATATCATATATGTAGTCCCTCGGTTGGTCAGCAGTAAGTTTACGGAGTTACAGTGCTAAAATCCGTGGTAGACAGATAGCCCAATGTGTAGCTTTACACTAAAATAACGAACGAAAACTGATGTATATTCAAAGCGTTATCACCCGTACAGTATTCCTAAAGTAATCCATTTAAGTACAATGTAATACAATACATTTAAATACAATACAAAGCTATAAGATACCTTCTTATATTACGAAGAAAATTGTAGTATTTTGAAAACATTATAAACAATTGTTATCATTATTCGTGATTATGACTTACTAGTATGTTTGATGTTTTTAGTGAGCAAGTGATTCTCACAAATTTCAAACTTTATATTTATTAATGCCACTGATTAAATGGTTAACTTATTCTATTGAAAAAAGGAAATAAAATAATTTTATTAATTACTTATCAAATGGAAAGGAAAAGTGTCCTTGTAATTATGTTTCATTTTAGATATTTAATATCAAATTAAGAAGTTGACCTCATTTAGGGTAACGTGTTCAAGTAAATGGTGGAGGACATCAACAATTAAGTTTTCTCTATTGTATGATTGAATTAACTTAAATGTTGGTTAGTTTATAGTCTGAGCTTGCAATTTCAATTCTTTAATTGCTGTGTTTATGACATTGAATAGCTTATTAATATTTCCATGATGTTTTAATCTGTTGGGTTTGAAATGAAAAATGCCTTCGAACAAGAAAATGTACAAACTAAAAAAAAGAAAAAGGTTTCTGTTCACATATTTGAAAACTAATATTTTTGTTTATCTTTACTTGTTGGATAAATACCTTGTGTCTGCCTTAGGTGTCGAATATTAATATTGAAAATATTGTTTTCCATTTCTATCTAACATAAACAAATCTAGCTATCTTAACCCAAATAAAATGACAAAATATTGCAAATTTGTATTCCCATATTGGTTCTCAAGTTCAAAAACTTCACAATAATATACATGAGTATTTGGGTTTTACTCGATGTTATCTTATCTTAATCAATAAATTCGAGGTATACTATTACAAATGTTCTTTGTATAATAAGAAAAAGAACATCTCAACATTTTCTCGAAATGAAATACATCATGACATTAGAAGTAATAGTTCTCACAGCTGTGAATTAAAAAAAGAAAAGAAAATCCATCAGCGTTAGTAATAACGATCCATTAAGGTAATTTATATTTTACTTCTGTATCAAAAATCATTGCGAATATTTTTATGATTATCTTTTCGTGTGTTAACCTGTGTACTGTAATCAAAAATAAGCTTCCAATGAAAGATTCTTTCATTTAGGAATTATTACTCTAAGTCTCGAGCTATATCTTTGTATTTCAAGAATGTTGTACTTACAGATCCAGAAATTGTTATTTATCACCTAGAGAAAATGAACAAATGGAACAAATGGATTAAATGAAATTCAGATTTGAGAAGTTTCATAACAACCTGGGCCTTTAATATATTCTACTTGCTAATCAGAGTTTGAATTTAGTTTTAGGTGCCTGAGGGAAATATTGATATATTTCTCTGATACGGTGAAAAGCATTATGCGTAATTTTAAATTATTTAAGGAATGAGACATCCGTAACAAAAATACCTTGGGAAATATGCATAGTTTCAAAAAGTGGATGTGAAATTTAATATATTTTCTAAGTTCCTATATGAATATTTTTTTACTTGGAACGCACTAGGATCCGAATCTTGGTTTACAAGGATAAGACAACACAAATGTTACTTACGTATGTTAAATAGCAATAACATTTTATTACAGTTTTGAAAATGGAATATTTAGGATTCAAAACTTACAAGAACGTGTGATAAACGTATCAATTAAGAATTTATACAGCTGAGTTTTGGATTATTTTCCATTCTTGACACTAGACATAACATTAGATATATTCACTTGTATAAGCTACATATTATTTCCTGTGCAATATTCTTAATATTATCTAAAAGATGTAATATGAGTTAATATTTGACATGGTTGTGAGTAAAAGCAATAATAATATTTTCGGGAAGCAGGAACAGTGATCCAAATCTACTGAAATTAGCCCCTAGAAATTCGAAAACTTGTAATAACGTGTAACTAAAAATACATATTTACATATTATCATAGAAAAGATAGAGTAAGTGAAACAAATATGAGCCATTTATTTCTGTGTATGATATATAAGTAATATTATTAGACTAATCTTTCTCTATAAATCAAAACTTTATTTGATTCTACAGCTTATCACTTCCGCTTAACAAATAAGCATGTCATATATTCCAGCAAGTTCTAGTTTACAGTTTCTAGATTGAATAGTTAATTAAACTTCTTTAGAATGTCGTCTTGGTATGGAAATACAGAGTTAATTAATTTGAATAAAATTTACTTTTTGAACTATGGTAGCGTAAATAAAATGTATTTATTATCTGATTACGTTGCAAACACTTAGCCCCCCCCCCCAATGGCACAGCGGCATGTCAGCGGACATACAACGCTAGAAACCGGGTTTCGATACCGGTGGTGGCCAGAGCACAGATAGTCCATCGCGTAGTTTTGTGCTTAATTACAAACAATCAAACAAAACCAAACAGTTAAATATCATTTATTTAATATATTATCGACTAAAAGCTTTTGTTTGTTTTAGCCTTAAGCCACCCACACCTTGTGCTATCAGCGCTCTCATCACCGCTGGTAATTGTACCCTACAGTTTAGTATTATAAGTGCGTAAATTTACCACTGACCCCTCGGGAGAAAGGGGAAAAGGTATATGATATGAAAGAAAAAGTCGCAAAGTAACAGCTTAAAATACAAGGGTTTAAGGAAAAGAAATGCTTTTAACACTCAACAATATATTTGTGTTTTCCTTTCAAAGAAATATTTGAGATGCATTTTTAAAATAATCAATACTGCCAATAGACAGCAATATTTCACTTCAGAACAAACTGAAATGAGAGCAATATTATCCTAAATATGTGCTTGTATGTTTCCTGAAACTGATAATCATATAATTAGTATTTTTATGTTTTATATTAATTGAAACAAAGTTATAATAAATCTAATATGTAAATAATACATAGGTTTCTTTCTATAGATTTAATTAAATCAGTTATTTAGAAATAAAAATAAAAATGAATTAACTAAGATTTTAGTAAAGTAAGACGTTACATAAATGCTATTATAGTAGTATTAAAGTTACAGGAAACTAGCTACCAAAATTAAAAACTTGTTCTCTAGCAAAAGATTGAATTAAGCATTTAAAACAAAACTTTCTAATTGTAGTAAAACATTTTATAACATATAGATGCACATAATTTTTTTAGTTATTAAATTCAGCTTTTTTGTTTAAAATGTCAGTAGCTAATATTTTGTAGCTTACAATGCCAGGGAAGAATGGACAATCATATGAATCTAAATAAAAAATTTCCTTTTATTTGACTTTCAATACTTATAACATTCGTACAGCTTGGGATCGATGATTTTGCACGATATGATGTAACCAAAATGAAAATCTTCTCTGTTTAATATTCAATATTGTGGACCATCTCTGACATCAGTTTGCTGCGATTGTGCTACACTTGCAATTCGCTCTCCCTTCAATTTTATTAAGGTTGTACTTATTCCTATTAGGGATTGACTCATGTTAACATGCACAACAAATTGTTGTTTATAACTACAATCAACAGCAAGTAGATTTAGAACTAGGTTTTGTTTCTTGCTGGCAAAATTTATTTCTTATTTCGCTTCACTCTTGGTTTATTTGGTCTCTCTCACATCTTTCATTCTTATTGTTTTCATTTAACTCTTATTTCTTTATATATCTTTCTCAAAATTTACGCCAAACAACTCTATTTCTTCCTGACCTTTCACACCTGTTTGGATTATAATGTTTTATAATTAGATGGGATTCTGTTGTTTCCAAACACTTCCTCTAATTCTTTCGTAACGACTTTCGTAACGCTTTCTCAACTCTCTCAACCCAAAATTATGTTCCTTACACCCAACTTTATAACACACTTCCCCTTTATCCTGAATACATTTGTTGGTTATATTCAATCTCGACTGTGTTTCTGTCTAATTTCGATGCTATTCTAAGCTCCAAAGTTCCAATGTATCAAACTTTTCCTGTTTAACCCCTCACAATCTGTTGTGCAGCATCGATAATTTCACTGTATTTTCATGTATCATATTACAGCCTTTGTATATATATTTTATAAACTTCACAGATAATATATATATATATTAATATATACATTTATTGTGTATATATATATATATTGTATAGACACACAATTAATTGGTTAGTATCCTCCATTCTTACTCTTTCACTCATTTGAATACATTCACACACAACATTAGTTCTAACTCAAGATGGATGGGTCTTAGGTCCCATATTTATATACAATAAATACTAGTTTTACCAGGTAGCAAACTGGTCATAACAACTCAAGCACAAAAGATTATCTTTATTTCAATGACCATCGCTGGTGTATACTGTAAAATTAGTGTATTAATAGATTCAATCCATTCAGTTTTCTGTTTTCATTTTATGCAACCAGATTAAAGAGTTATGGTCCATTTTCATGAAAAATGCTTTGTCTACATGTTTAATTATATAGAAATAATTTATCCATCATAGCTCTAAACCATTTCTGGGTACTGGGTCCAGTAACTGAACTAACTGATTCAGAAGTTCTCGTTTTCACAGTGAAGCTTTTTATTTTATTCTTTCTCTTCTGAGTTAGCTTTAACTATTAATTTCTACCCATTTGCTAACCCTTACTTCAAGCTGGTCACATATGCTAAATCATTCCGTGACTCAACTATATCTCTGGACCAACTTGATACTTTAATAAGTCTAATGGGTCTTTAACATTTTTACCATATAGTAACTCAACTCAAATGGCGAAACTCCCGTTTTAGCTAGAGGGCGGGGGCGGGCTTCTTGATATGCAACTAGCGCAAAAGGCAATATCAGTATTCTCCTGCATCATTACTCTTAACATGGTTTCAATTGTATCATTTGCTTTCTCACACATTCCATTTGTTGGTAGTCTATAAATACTAGTGTGTTTCATTTTTACTCCGGTTACTTTCTATAATTCTCCCATTATTTGTATTTGAAGATTGCTACCTAAATCTGATAAAAATTCTTCAGAAAATCCTACCCGTGAATATATTACTATTAGCTCTCGCGGGATTTTTTTCTTCTTCAACAGAATTTAGTGCTACTGCTTTTACATATCTAGTGAAAGAATCATCCAGTGTCAGAATATATTATTCCCTTCCTATATTACTGGAAGTAGTCCGATAATATCAGCACTAAAGGAATGAAAAGATTCACTAAA